TCAGATAGTCCGGTATTGACGAGGCGGGCAAGTTGATTTTTTTGCGTTACGAATTCCGTTAGCGATTGCGTTGGTGTTTGTCGGACGGATACTATCTCTGCCCGCAGCCGTGACTGAATTTCCACGTTGTCGAATTTTTCTAAAAATTCGGCGCGGAACTCGTCCCAGGTGACGTCCAGTAGTCTGATGGTGTTCCACCAGGTACTGGCTGCACCCTTTAGCTGCTGTGCGATAATATTTGTCCAGGCCGACCTATCTATACGCGTTTGGTACATTATCGACTCCGCTTTATGGATAAATCTTGCCGGGTCCTCAGGTGTTGTCCCGTGGTACTCCGGCAGCGAATGTCTCGCTGCACATACGTCGTCGTATGGTATCAGCGTCGATTGTTGTGCCGCGTAGGTGTATGTGGAGGAGGGGGCATGGTGTATGTTTGTTGTGTCGTCGAAACGTACTGAATGATCGGCGCGGTGGTTACCCGCGGACGGTGGTTCGCGTGCCGCGGGGTACCTCGCTCCGTATTCCGTGTTGTTCGTTGACACTGAGTGGTGTGGGCGGATCGGTGGGGTTGCATCCGGTTGCTGTTCCGGTGCTTGGCGTGCCATACCCATCTCTAGGCGTCGCATTGTCTCTGCAATGCGACGTTGGTCTTCGCCAAAGCGGGCCATACAGTTCTCGAGCAGGGTCAGTCGTGATTCCAGACCGCAGCCATGCGCCGAGTTCTCCACCGCTTGCCGTACCTCGTTTATTATGGTACGACCCGTTTGGATCATATCCATAGTTTGTTGGTGTGTGGGTGTGGTTGATGGTTGGGGTGTTGTGTTGTTGGTGGTGATCTGGGGTGGGGCGTGTGTTGTCTCGATCTGTATTTGCGCGGTTTGACTGGCGTCGGGTACCAGACCTGTGGCCGAGCTCTGTCCGGTGTGCCCAGTGGGTTCCATAGGCGGGAACCGGATTTCGTTGGCCTGCAGGTTCATGTCCGCGAAATGTTGTGTTAATCGGATTTCGAGATCACCCTTCGCTCCCGTATCCGATAAACCGCGCTGTCCGCATTCGTAGCGCAATTCCGCGGCGGTCAATTCATTAATATATTTTCCCGGCATGACTTCCGGTTGTTTTTCCGGTGTTGTTGACGAGAAATTATAAAATGTGGCTGTTGTCGTTGGAACGGGTATCGCGTTCCTTCGATCAGCTGTGTTGTCCGCTTATCGGTGTTTATTTGCGTACGGAATGTGGGTCAGTGGGTTGTTATTGTTATTGTTGCGCTTGCCGGACGATCACAGTAACCGGTCTTCGCAGAGTGTTTTCGCGGATGCGCGTGTGTGCGTTATCCGGTGCACTACTGCGATTAGGGAAAGGCGGCGGCTGTCGCTTTAAACGGCGGCGGCGGCAGTCCGATTACGTGGTATTTTTGTCCCGGGTAATCGCGTGTTGACGTAGGCGGGTGGTGGAGCTAGGCGGTGGTGGTGTGACCCTCTCGCGCTCTTGCGTTCCTACCTAATGCCTACCTGCGTCGTGTGTGTTTGGTGCGTCGCGCGCGGTGCGGTCGGTGCGTCCGTGAGTCGGGCGGCGCGGCCGGTCGTTACGTCCTTTATGGTTATATAATATATTACGTAACGCCGGTTTTTCCGTTACCGCCTGCAAACCACGTTTTTGCCGGATCGCGTTGGTGACTTTTTTCCAAAACGCGCAACGGGGGTTTATTTGGGGGTGGTAGTATGTGGTAAGAAAGTTTTTACTTACCGGTGATTCCTGTTCGGGGAGCCAGTTGACGCGTACTCGTGGGCCGCGTGGGTGATGAGGTGCTTGTGGTGATCGACGGTGAGCAGTCGAGTCGGATAGCAAGCAGCGAGGTACAAAAATACGACACCAAAGAAACAAATAACGCACTGATAGGTGATTTTTGTAACTTTTATTGGTTCCGCAGTTACTGACAATATTCAATATATTCTAGTACAAAATAAAGACAAGAGAAATATCGAATCCGCGGTTCGTGCAAAAAAAGACGGCGGCGGTCAGTGTCGGTCGGAGTCGTGAAGACGAGAGAGCGCGCCTTGGCGATCCGGTTCGCTGGACGGCCGGCCGACGGTTCCAGGCGCGCGTGTCGCGCGCCGGCGTCGTCCGTCGTCGGTTGGCGGTTTGATTGAGAAGCCGCGGCGCGGCTTCCGCGCAAAGGCTGTTTGAATTCAAACAGATTTTGCGCGGGACCGCGTCAGTCTGTAGTCCGTACACAATATTAGCTGCGTTTAGACCAAGAGGATTGAGGACAGTTTTGGAACTCGACGTTCCATCATACGTGATATTAAAAGGATGGAACGCGACGTTCCATCATTTGGTATTTAAAAAATAACCAAATGACTATCACGCGTGATTGGACCGTGCAAGTTTTTCCACGCGGTAGATTGTACATGCCAATCATTTGCTAATTTAAATGAAAAAATTCCATCACGCGGGTTGGAGTGATCATTTGGAACGCGAGCTGACAAAACTGTGCGTGTAAACAGTATTTACAAACGATTGTACACGATCTATCATGTCCTCTAGTCATTTTAAAACTTTGACCACTCCGCCGTTCAAACAACTACAGTTAACACGTACCACAGCACCTGAAACTACTAATATTTGAAAAAATACGTGTTTATCGTACTTACTTAAAATGTCCTCTTTAAGAAGAAAAAACAACTACTAGGATATGCTGCTGTTTACTATATACATATGAATATGGTAAAAGCACGATCTCCAAGATCAATTTGGATGAAGAGTTGGCTGTCGGATAAGACAAAATTTGGTCACTTACCATTAATTAGTGAACTTAGAAATAATAATCCTGAAGATTTTAAAAATTATTTAAGAATTGATGGAACAACATTTGATTTCTTACTAGGTAAGTATAATATAATATTATCTAATTTTTTTTTTTTTACATTTTAGTGTTGTTCAATAATTCAATAAAATGTATAATTATCTACCTAGGTTTAAGTTGACCATTAATACAAAAAGAGGATACCATCATGAGGGAAAGTATTCCTCCAGAACAAAGATTGTTAGCAACACTAACATTTTTAGCTACTGGTATGTCTTACCAAAGACTAAAATTTTCAACTGCCATATCAGCTAGCAGCTTATGCGAAATAATACCAGAGACTTGTGATGCAATTTTTAAAGTTTTGAAAAAGGATTACCTAAATGTAAGTATTGTATAAACAACAGCATTATACATTTTTTTTTTTAGTAATTGATAGTTTTTGATAATCTTACACCAATACATTTATAATCTGCTCATAGTTTGTACCAACCAAGAACCTTAAAGTTGATTTAGTATGAAATAAAAATAGCTATAAATATAGTGAAGATAAAGTATTTAAATGCCATAAAGAGCTGTTGAACACAATATGATTGTTCATCATAAAAAAATGTCTCATTTACTATTCAACATTTTGAGTCTTATACCACCTAGGTACTCATTATTACAATTTAAATTTTTAAGGTACCTACCTACCTACATAGGTATGACGAAAAACTTTTTTTAATTAATAAATCATGCCCTGCAATTATAACTTTTTATATAAAATATTAATAAAAAAAGAAATGTAAAATAATAGTATTTATTTAACATAGTTATCATAAGTAACCAAAAAATAAATATAAATCACTTGTTGAGTTAAAAAATATAAAAACAATGTATGTAAGAAATAGGTATAGGTACTGTATGTAATTCAACATAAACCTATAAACTTGTAACAATTAAAACTAAATACATTCTTTGTAATTATAACTTTTTATATAAAATATTAAAAAAAATTAAATGTAAAATACATAAGATAATAGTACCTATGTATAGACTAGAACATAGTTATCATGAGTAACAAAGAAACAACATTAACGTATAATCATACTTCTGATCAAATTATATGTTAGTATAAGAACAAGAGTTAGAAAAATCAAGAGCAGATTCATCGGAAACTTTTGCATCATCGTAATTCCACTGTGAATTCGGAATATCATTTAGGTACCATATTTTGATTAGTAACCTGAGTTTCAGTAAAATGCATAGGGTCCATAGGAGCAGCAGAATAAGTGTAACTTAAAGGAGAGATGGGTTTGGAATGGCTGGATACAGATGTAGCAGGGTTAATGACAGGATAGGTAGAGGTTTCATTTGTAGAAGAAGTATTTGGAAAATAATAATGATTGTTTGAATGATCTGTAAATTAAATAACAATATTGTGATTAAATATAAGAATATAGCATTGTGACTAGTTTTATAAGAAATACTTTTAAAATCATATTTAAATATAGATACAAATACATTCTCAAATGCATTCAAAAAGTATTTAAAATACTATTCAAATATTTAAATACAATTACTCAAATAGTTTACAACACTGATTAAATTAATGAAACAAAAAAACTCATACCTATATTATTTTGTAGTCCAATGTCTGGTGTTAAAGTATTTAACAGTCCTTTAGACAGTACTGTGTTTATCAATGATTCAGCAATAAGATATTGGACTTGATTCATTTTGCGAGTCTTAGCAGTAACACAAATTCCAAATGCTTCAAATTCATCAATATCTTTGCAATTATTAATTGCTTCTGTAGTTCTGTTATGGTTTTTGCAAAATGTAGACTGTCATCTTTCTTCCTTTTTTTTTATGGTACAGTGGTTACATGTTGTTTTGATGAATCAAAAGTTTCCTTAATAAAAAAAAAACAGTTAGGTATTCATTTTAAATAATTGGTTTAATTGGTACCCAGATCTATAACAAATAATTAGGATTAATAAAAATAAAATAGTACTTAAAACATTTTTTATTGTATAATTTTTAGTTTCCAAAAAATAAAAATGAATGGCAATCAATCAGTTAAGGGTTCAAAGATCAATGGCAGGTCATCAACTGTGGAGGTGCTCTTGATGGAAAGCATGTGCTGATAATACCACCGAAAGATTCAGGAGCACATTTTTACAACTAGAAGGGCTTTTACAGTATGGTGTTGATGGCATTGGTTAACTCTAATTACGAGTTTATCTATGTTGATATTGGGAAAAATGGTAGATGTTTTGATGGAAGAGTACTATCGAACATACTACATTCTACAAAAAATTATTGGCTGGGACATTAGATTTGCCTAACAATTATGAAACTGAAGAAAACTTGAACTTCTCATTCTTGGCTGATGATGCATTTGCATTACATAACCATGTGTTGAAACCGTACCCAGGAAGTGGAGTTACGCATGAAGAACGGATATTCAATTATAGATTGGCTAGAGGCAGGAATGTAGTAGAAAATGCATTTGGACTTTTAACAAGCCGATTTAGAGTTCTACACACAGCTATAAATATGTCACCAGATAATATAAAAAAAGTTGTTCTAGCAATTTGTTCCCTGCACAATTTTTTGCGAAAAACAAGTAACTCTTATGCTTCAAATAAGACATTTGACAAAGAAGACACGAATACACATGAAATTATAAATAATGGCGATTGGAGAAATGAAGCAGCTGATATCACTGAAATTCAAAAACTTGTACAACGAAATGCCCATTCTGATTCAAAAATTAATCTGAATAATCATAAAAAATTTTATAATGAAAAAGGGAAAGTAGATTGGCAAGAAGAAATGTTGCAAAAGGGAAAAGCATAGTGAAGGTGATTAAGAATACTTTTAAGAACTGTATAATATAATATAGGTATTAGAACCATCATTCAGTAGTCATAATATTATTTATTGAATGACTATGTATACCTTTTACCAATAAATATTATACTGAAGAAGGTACACAATTTTAATTTATTTATTTTTTATTATTTATATGGTTGGTACCTACCTAATATGGAGTTGATTTTAATAATTATTTAATAATTTTTTTTTTTAATAGGTACATTACATACCTGTAGAGGCATCTCACTGTTTAGCTGTTTGTTGACTTCCTCTGGAAGAGTTGTATTATGTATATTTGTAGACATCATAGCATCATTATTTTCACCGTCACTTAGGTTGGAAATGCTCTCCTCAGGAGTCTCTTGTTCTTTTGTAAACAAAAGTTGATTATAATACCATAGTGATGGTACGTGCACACTGTCAGTGGATGAACCAGTTTTATTTCTTGTTTCATTCCATTTATTAAATTCTTTCCTAAATGAACCACGTAGACTTTGGACTCTTTGTACAACCCATGTTTTGTTTGCATCAGAATACACAGTTTGTGCAAAGTTGGCCAATTTTTCATAGGCCATAGTTTTCAAATTTCTATTAGTATAAAGCCACTTGTCTTTAATCTTCCACAGACATGGTTGCTCTCTGTATATACTTGTAAACTCGGTCAAATATTCTTTCGACCAGTTGCGAATATCCGACATAACTATTATTATAGTTAGTATACAATTACAACAGTAAACAAGTCGCTAAAAACTACGCACTTCACAGTCTTCACTACTTCAGTTAAAACTAAAAATTTAAGATTCATATAACAAATATGCACATGAAATTTTACTTTTGTATTTGTATTTTGTGATTATTTCATTAAGCTATGAGCCTATGAAGTATGAACAAACTAAACAATAGATATAATGTTGATAATGGAAATGTAATTGGCGGGAAAAAAATAATAAGCAATTTACCAACTCTGTATGATGAGTGATGACTGGAATGCTCAAAAAGCAGTGTTGCCCGGGAGAGAAAGAGAAATTAAGAGAATGTGAGAACCCCCCGTGTGCACGCCTATGCACCACTGTACAGCAAAGCGAGTTTCCTTTTTTTTTTTGATATATTCATAATACTTCATATTATATTTGGTTGCAAAATAAACAATTCTTATTACTATTATTATATATTATATTATAACTACCGAGCTCATTTGGTTCAGTTACCTAGTGAGAAAATTAATTAGGTACCTACCTACCTAAAAATGTATGTTAAATATTAATTTCTTAATTAGTTAATTACTCACCTTTCATTGATATATAGCCATATAGGTATATATATTATACTACAGGAAAAAAAATATAATACTAAGTGGGATTTTAGGGGTTAACACCAACCCTACGATATATCAGGATACGAGGGTCAATTTACTTATTTAATTAATTAGCAAATGATTGTCTTTGATGATGGAATGTTTGTCTAAACGCTTCCATAAATGTAAATGATAGCCTGTCCTTTCTATATTAGTCGTTTGGAAAAAACAAATGCCTGTGAAGCATTTAGACGCACAAGCCATCACATGCATTTATCATCTACTAAAAACTGTGTAATTTTCTAAATAATTTACTAAATCATTTTTTAGTATTTACACGCAAGGTTTAAAATACAAAAGATGGAACGGCGCGTTCCAAAAATGTCCTTAATCCTCTTGGTCTAAATGACTGTAGGGAAGATAGTGACGTTAATATAATTAATAATAATATAATTTAGTACAACTGAACAACAACATCCTATGCGGCTATGCCCTATGCCTTTAAATATAATATTATTGATACATTTGTCCATGTCTTAACACGAAGTTTTACGCGCCCTCATAATATTCATCGGCCGTATAATATAGTATATACCAGGGGTGGCCAACATGACTATGTACGTGAGCCACATGTATTAATAAAATTTTATCAAGAGCCAAATTATCTAATGTGTACTTCTATAAAACAAAATTAATAAAGATAGCAAACAGCCGATAAACCAATAAAATCCAATTTTAGTTAATGTCATTGAAAAGGGATGTCCATTATCACATCCTATCGTCACAAATAAAGCGGATCTGGAAATAGAACTCTTGGAATTATTAGAAGATGAAGGTCTTAAGCAGTTTATAAACAATTGTCCCTCTATATTGGAATTTTGGAAGCATATTTCTATATTAAAATACCCAAATATTGAAAACTGTGCGGTAAAATTGATATCAATTTTTGGAACGACGTATTCATGTGAATCACTTTATTCAACAATGAAAATAATTAAGTCAAAATATCGTTCAAATTTGACTGATGATCATCTTGAAGAATTACTAAGAACTGCTCTTACATCAATTCAACCAGATCTTAAGAAGCTTACTAAAAAAGTAGACACGAAAAAAGTATCACGCAAACAAAATTACCTTAATGTTTAATTTTTTATTTATTATTCATATTAATGAATTTTTTTTTGTTTGATTTAATCTATATTCTATAGTCTATACACTATAATACTATAGCCTCAAATAAATACAATAAAAACATTTTTTTTTATAAATGTATACAAAAAAAAATTAAAATATTTTGGTTTTTTTAAATAAGACCGCGAGCTGCATACGACTGTGACGAGAGCCGCATGCGGCTCGCGAGCCGTGATTTGGCCACCCCTGGTATATACAATATACCTATACCCATATATACATTCGTGCAGCGGACGGCTAAAAGTAACTTGCTTTGATTGAAAACCTGTCTGTCGTCGTCGTGGTATGGCACGCGGGAACTGGGGTAACGCGGCAGTTTTCGTATTCCGGACATATTATACGACAATATTATATTGCAACAACAACAAATCATGGCAAATTTTCTTACACTAGTTTTAATAGTGTGCTGTTCATTTTGATATTAGAGTGAATTGACCTATTATAAAACGTTTAGTTAAGAACGTTATCTCTGCTTAAGCGTTAGTAAATTTTCGATATTTTCATTTTCAACCAAGATATATGTATGTAAAATATCAAAAATTAAAAATGCTCAAACTCGTTTGAAAATTAAAATATCAAATTAAAGCCGTTTTTATTTAAAAATTGTATAATAGGTAAATTCACTCTTATATCAAAACGTTTTAGTTCAAGCCCCTCTAAACCGTACTCCCGTAGTTGGTGGTCCTCGACCCCCCCCCCCCCCCCCCCAGATAGGTGTATTTTGGAAAACGTTCAGTTTTTGTACGACGTTTCTGAAACTCAATATTTGGGTAGATTGGAGGTCGATGATCAAATTCGGCGTCTTGTAAGAGTGGTATTTCTACGTATTCTGGGGCTTCGAAAATTCAAAATTGGCGTTTTTTGGGTTATTTGGCACTGACACTTAGATTTTAGGTACGGCGAGCTGTTTTACTTGGCGAATGCTATAGAAGACTTTTACCCGGATCGATGGGTTCTGAAATCGATGTTATCCGAAGTATAAAGTAAGAACACTAAGATCTAGAAGTAAAAGAAATTAAGTACCATAAATAAATGTATAATGTGCTTACCTCTACCCGCTCTATATAGTATTACAGTACTTAATCATAGTTTGGTATAACATTCGACCAATATACTATATTTATTATTATATAATATGTAGATTGAGATTTTAAAACTAATATTATATATCTATAGATATTATAAGCACAAATTTTTCAAAAAAAATTAATAAATCTAATTTGAAGTTTTATACCTACTTATTATAACAAATATAATATAATTATAACCTACAAAAAACCCAGATTTCGCTGATTTTGACGACTCCCATTCGCGCAAAAATTGACTTAGAGCTTCTAGACCAACACAGTCCGATGCGCAAACGTCTCTTCTATAATGATCGATCGGAAAAAAGGCATACCTTAGGGCTACAGCGTGAACAAAATACAAAAAAATATAAACAATGACCTTCAACTAAAAATTTTCTTTTTACAAGTTTTTCTCACAGAAAATCGCCTACCGTAGCTGTTGTTCTGGTATCTACGGAAAGGTAACTAAATTACATATCCACAGGTGAAAAAACCAGATCTCTAAGTCTAAAAGGGGCCGAGCACTGATCAAAAACCAAAAACAAACGAAAACATTAAAAAAAAAAAAAACACGAAAAAAAGGCTTGTATTCAAAATGTTAAATAACTAAATAACTAAAATAACTAAATACGAAAACAAAGTTCAAATTAATTATTACTTTAAACGTTAAACGGACGTATACCTTAAGGAAACATATGGGTATACGAAAAATCACTTGATGCGTTTTTCAACTTTTTTTTACACCGATTACGGGTGAAATAATGGTCGCACGCACTTTGACCATAGACCCTTTTTGAATCTTCGTACGCTAAAATAACTGGATCTCGAGTTTTCTAGTGATCGAACGAAAACCCCAAATTCCGAACACACGTAACTACGTCATTTTCTAAGTACAATGAACACACGAAAAATCACGGGAGGGCCGTGTTTGCACCTAAATACCATATATGCGCCTATATGCAAAAACCTCGATTGCGCTTAAAATACGTTAAAATACTTGTTTGCGCACATAACGTTACAAATCAATAAATTTGGCAACATTGCAGTAAAACTTAAATTTCTCGTCCCACTTTTTTCAGACTTCGAACTGACAGAATAAAATTTAATGAATTATTCTGATTTCTGGTGTGGTTAAAAATTTGTCTTTACTGTTCTGTTGTGTAGTTATTATTTTTTTTGTACCTATTATATTTTCAATAAATTTAAATTTAAATTTTTCTTCACTGTTCTGTTGCGTTCGTCGTTGTTATTTCTTATATAGGCACCTGCAGGCACCTATTATATTTTTAATAAAATAAAATTTAAATTTTTCGCGTTACTTTGACTTTGTTACTTATATTTTTTATGAAGATAATTGTTGATGTTGATGTATCTCTTAATTCGTTGATAACCTGGTGTTTTTTTATAACTGCTTTATTTTTTATTTGTTT